TTCACACAGAAGAAAGCGGACTCGCAGGTGAGGTGGTCAGTCCTCAACACCATACTGCTACTACGTCGCCATGAGATAGCTCGATCCAAGCTCGCGCAGGCTATGTCCAAAGGAGAATCTGTCGGATCTTGTATCGAAATCATCGAAGATTCTATCGATCCTTCTGATATCTAGAAATACATTGTCTTCTCTTCTAGTTTGGATAGATCCATCATATAAAGAAGCATTTGTAATACACTAATAAAGGATAACATCATTTAATGAAGATCCATCGTTTTTGTCTTGAAGAAATGTGAAAGTTGCACATGCCAACCTAATTAGCCGGGATAATTTAAAGATATGAAAATTGTGAGTTTTAAACTTTCAATAGAAAAACAATAAATATATTTGATAATTAGTAATATTGTACTGTCGAGCTCTTTTATCTACATCGACCACTGACTTTACCGTTCGAGCGACTTAATAATTCTTATATTGTATCGCTTTAACTATTTTCAAATATACATACGAATAATAAAACAAAATTCGTAAATGTAGAAACTAGAATTCTACAAAGAATATATTTAAGTAAAGTATGGACAGAGCCGTCCCTGTGTAATTGGTGGCCACAAGCAGCAAAACTTTTTTGGCCAAATATGGGTATCGATGACCTAAAAAAAAAAGAAAAAAAGATTTCCCCCTTGTAAGAATCGAACCCTTGACCTCATTCACTCAAACATCACACATTTACCAGCAGAACTAACGAAGATATTAGTTAAAATACGGCCGATTTAATTGATGTATATTTGACGGCCGCAAGCCTGAGCTTTGCTTGCTTGTAGTCAAGGCCGGCTCTGAGTATGGATGTGGCATTCTCACACTCTAAGTATTTATATTATTAGTAGACTAAAGTTCTCAAAATCAAAATACAAGACACAGTTTGTATAGAAAACATCAAAACAATATGGAAATGTATGCAAAAATGCAGAGAGAAAATAATATAATATTGATAATCAAGCAAGATTTTGATGTACCCAAAAACAGTTTAATTTCTACAAATAGCTGGACTCGAGAGACGAGTTGCATACGTACCCGAAATGGGATCAAGCCAAGATGTAGTTTGATTACAAAAAGGAGAAATTGTTTAGTGATATTCTAGAATAATATTTTTAGAAGGTGTCTAATATATGAGATGTGGTTCTCTTTTCTTAGAGTTTTCACCTTTCTTTTATAGCCTTTTTCGTTCTCCCAAAGTACCAGTACTTGGCCATTAATTATATAATTAACTCACCAAATAACAACCATGGTACTTATTTCATGAATGACAAGTTTATTCCTATGACCATAACAATTAATTCATGAATTGAATCACATATTAGTGCCAAGATTTGACCACCTCCTTTGTGCAAAATGGGCCTTCTTGAGCTTCGTAAGTTGATGGATCTCCGATGTACTAAAATGATCCGGAGTGTGGGATCCAATACCAACATAAAGTAGGCAGAAATTTTTTTCTTTATTGAAATCTCAATCAAAATGTCTCAATTACAAAGGTTTTAGTTGCTTCAAGAACAAGACAGAGTTTTTGTGTTTGAAAATGGCAGATCCTTTACTCTGTTCTCGACCCCTTTTTTATATAGAGGGATCGTCGGTTTTTTTATATGTCCTATTTCTTTTATTCTTCGGTCTTGAATATCTCTTTTTCTTTTTTTTTTTCTACATCTTCAAGATTCTCCTTCTAAATTAGTATTTTCCTTTTCTTATGTCGGGTCGGCTACGAGCTTATCGGGCTTTTGTCCATGGAACGATTACCGGTTTATCCAATTTATTTGGTTTAGTAGAATTATTTTTGGTTTACGCCGGATTTGTTGGAGGGAGCTAAATCCCTCACCAAAAGTAAATTACGTGAGATTAACAATGCAAGTTGTAATATTTTGTGGTATATTTATTTAAATTATTTTTTGGTATATTTATTTTTGATATAATATTTTCATAAAATTATGTGATAATTTATTATTTTTAATTGTTTATCAAAAATTAATAATAGTTAATAATACTTTTTTAGTCAACTCTGGTTAACGCCGGATTCCGGCGACCATATTACCACAATGGGATGGTTAGGATGTTTCAACATGTTTAGGTTTGTTCGAGAATGTCCTTATGTGATGGCAACTAGCATTTGATCCAAAGACATCAAATATTTAAAACCTTTGTCCCAGACTCTCAACTAATTCATACTTTTTCTCATACTGTAGTAATATTTTTTTGGCATAAGCATGTAATATCCATGGAGAGTAATAACGTTTTGGGTATAGACCAAAATGTAACAGGAGTTAGCGTTTCCGGTTAAGTTTTATATTCCTTATTTGTCTTCTATTTATTAATATAACTAGGACGAAACCCGCGCTACGCTGCGGGGTATATTTTTGGATAAATTATATATTTTAGAATAGTTAAATCATATTGTTGAAAACTTTATTAAATCAAACACTTAACAGAAGAAGTCTTTTGATATAAAGTGGCTTTACGAGGGAACACAATGCATAAGCCATGAGGTGAATGCCTTTTACTCGAATTCGGCTTATATATCCGATCTCTAGAATATTTCTTTGTCTAAACCGTAGTTTGTTAAGCGAAATGTACCAAAATTGTTGAATATAAATTGAAATTACAAACTAAATAAAAAATTCAGCTTAACTTTGGCTACAATATTTGTGAACCGAACCAAACTTTTCCAAATAAAAAACTGAATCAAATAAAGAACCTTACCTCATCCTTTCCAAATCCAATATTTGCACCAAAGTAAAATGCAACAGAGAGATTACCAGTCTTTTTCTATAATTTGGAACAAAATAATGAAGCAAAAAGACTGGTTGTTTAAATTTTTTCCTTAACTCAGACAGTAGGAGGAGACTCATGCACTTAAATTATATAATCTCAACATCTTCAATTAGAGGTGTCAAGCGGGCCGATAGCCCGCGAGCTTTGTCCAAGTAGCCCATGGCGGAGCGGGCTTGAACATCATTTTTTATGTCCATAAAATAGCGGGCCTCGCGGACAAGCCCATGCAGATTGCGGGTTTTGTCCGCGGATTTGCGGGTCGGTCCGCGGACTACAAATATTTAATAAAAATAAATAAATAATATAAAAAAACAAATACTTTTACATAATTCTAAAACTATATGTGTTAAATATATGAACATATAAAGAAATTTAATGTATAAAATTATAAGATTTACAAAAAAATTAATACTAAAAGTTTTTTTAAATTGAAAAATTATTAATTTCATATTTTAAAAATAATTTAAAAAATAAAATTAATTTTAAAATATGAAATTAATAATTTTTCAATTAATTTTAAAATATTAAAACTAAGTCCGCGGGCCGGCCCGCTAATCCGTTGGGCTTAGCGGGGCGGGCCTGGACATATCATTTTTCCCGCGGTCCTAGCGGGCCGGCCCGTCGCGGTCTCACAAACTGCGATCTACCAGTTTCAAACTTCTTAATTCTCCAATCAAAATCTCCTATTGATTGATCGAACTAAAGGATTGACCAGATCGAGTTACTCATTCTCGTCTTCGTCTTTACTCTTGAAAAATTGAAATCGAGATAAAGAAAGATGCAGGAGAGAATACAATTTGTATGAGTCAATCAATACTAAAGCCCACTTCTGAATAATAATAAGCCCACTTATTTTCAAACAATAAGCCTAAGTGAGAAAAGGTTTAAAAGTGACATGGAGCAAAGAACAAATATTACTGGCCAAAAAATCTGAGTTGTATTAATTGAAATGTTTTCATTGGCTGACGATTTTAATGACGTGTCATGCCCAAAACACTCCAAAATGCTGATGTGTCAGGCCTGGAGAGATCCTTAGTGTTTTTATTGTATTGATTTCAAATTTTGTTACAAAGGCATAGCCTTGTTGGCATAGCTTTCTTATGTATATAAATGCTGATCGAGCTTCAATTATACTAAAGAGGAAAATAATAATTAATATAATGTCTAATCCCATTGAAGCATGACTTTCAAGGAACGATTTAGGATTGGAAATCCACAAGTAGTGTGCCTATTATAGAGGCAGTCATTGAAAGAAACACAGCTGTTCACAAGCTAGATTTGGAGATGTCCGGAGAGACCCTTCACCGTGCCATGCCCGAGACATGTGTTTCTGAAGTTCAAGAACCACCATGGGATTCAACAGTCATCGACAATATGCTTATTTCAAAGTAAATAGTCGAGAAGAATAAGTCCGCTTATGAGTTGGATTGAGAGAACAAAGAAGGGGACCCGAACCGCGATAAACGGACCGACGGATAACCACCAGCCACACCACCCATGACCAGTATCACCCACATCAACCACACCGGCCATACACTCCGTGAGCGGTGCGGCCAATCACCCTCAGATCGGTCATGCAGCCCATACCGCCCGTCCGCTCAAACCGCGATCGACCGTCTCACCGACCCATATGTACCACATCCGTCACCACGACACTGATCTCACATGTGGGCAAGCTGACGTCAACAAGGAGACCACCTTATTACTTAGGTATGTTTTTCATTTTTAATTTTTTAAAACTACTGATTGTTTTAGGTTTTTGTCTCGAAAAGGATGCAAATAGAAATTTATAAGGAAAAAATTCTATTAACTTCACACAATACCACACATAAATAAGATTAGCTACATAATCTTATATATTTGAAATATACGATTCAACCCACATGGGCTTTATGTGTGTAAAAGCTTCGGCTCAGCTGTTTTGGGTGTTAATGAAATATTTTAAATTTTTTTAAAATTTTTTTGTCTCCATTAAGTCTTTAGTCCTCGTCTCTTCGAGATAACACCTACTATATGTAATAAATATTCTCAATAACAACACTTTTGATCATCTTTATCCAAAACCAAGTTTAGACTTGACTTGACTAAAGAAACACCTTCAAAGGCTGAATTAACATTAAAAAAAAAAAAAAACAGAAAGCTATTGAGATACTCCACACACTGATAGAGATCTTCTCCTTTTTATTGTCTTAACATATATATTCTGGTAGGGGTAGCCACATATTTAATCAACTCTCACATATATATTCTCACATAGAGCTAACAAAGTCAACAATTTCAACCACATCATGGAGTAGAGAGTTGGAATTCACCACCCTACAATTCAACCTGATTTGTCCTTGAGTTCCTGTGAGAGGTGTGATATTTCCCATCCTATTCATCGCCTCCACAAACGCATTAAAGAAGGTTTGTGTGCTATTAGCATATGATCTCACCAAAGGGATTGTGTCTGTGGCATTGGGGCTAGAGAACAACTCTTGGTCGCTCTGGATAAGACCTTTTCGCTCACCAAGGTTCACATAGTATTTGTTGTCGAAAACCGTAGGCGTACGCAGATCAAAATCCACCAAAGCACTTAGATTACCATTACGGGGACATAATCCGCGGAGAGTTTGTAGGTAAGTAGTGTTGAGAGAAGGGTCGGGTAAACCGGTGTTGCTGAAGTTGTATAGTCTATTCATAATAAACCGGCACTGGTTTTTACCAAATGTGTGACCACCTAACAAAAGAAAGACCATAAGATCAATAAATAACAAACTCAGCTTATTACAACTATATCAAATGGTGTGTAATATCCTTTTGTTAATTACCGGAAAGAGCTACGAGATCAGAAGTACGGTTGAGGCCAACATTTTTAAATCTATCTTTAAGTTGTGGAAGTGTGGAGGATGGACCAGGAAGATTTGCATTAGCGAGTTGCAAAAATGCTTGTAAGCTGTCTCTTCTTCCCAAAGGAACTCTCCAAGAAGGACCTCCCGCCTATGATATCATTCAGAAATTCCAATGAGTAAGGAAAGAGGAAAAAAACATGTTATATAAATTCATAGATGATTTATAGTCAAAGCTAAGGAGGGTTTTTTTAATCTCCAATATTTTCTTGAAAAATATGAAGATATAATTCAATCTTTTTGGTTAACTTAAAACGTAGTCTTACCAATTACATTATTGTGATGAGATCCAATAATAGTAAACTTATAATACAGTAAAACCTCTATAAATTAATACTCTATAAATTAATAACCTCTCTAAATTAATAAATTCTTCCGGTCCCGAGTTGGGACCAGTATAAAATATGACATAAATCGATAAATTAATAAGATAATAATTTTTTTGAAAATCTCATGTAAACATATGGTCCCATCTTTATTATAAATTAATAATTGTATTAACTTATCAATATATATATATATACATTATATAAATTTATATATGTTATATATGAATTACTATGATATATTTTTAAAAATATTATATGTAAAAAATTTATGAAATATGACTCTATTATTCGAAAAAAATTTGTGTTCTTTTTTAAACTTAATAATTGTTTCTTTACTTGTAATTAGTTTTTAAAAGATATTGTTTATATAGAAAAATTTATTTTTAGATAGAATTTTTTTTAAGAAATTACAAAATTAGTAAAATCTCTCTATAAATTAATAATTATTAATTTATCGATAAATTAATACCTCTCTAAATTAATAAAATTTCATGGTCCCAACATTATTAATTTATAGAGGTTTTACTGTAATTTCTTTACGGGACCACGCGTTTTGAATATATCTCTAATAATGTTGAATTCTTGGTCATAAGGTTGAAAGCTTGATTGTGATACTAAATATGGGGTGCGACCTTCTCAAACAAACAAAAATATATATCTTATTTTCAAACTTAGGTTGTCGTGTTTAATTTGTTAAGTAACTATATCATTATTATATACAGTAATGAATAAAAGAATGATAAAGTGTAGCATATACCAAAGTAACAGATTGTTGAGCCGCGATGGTGAGCATATCTGCGCATGAAACGGTTCTTGGGCAAGCCGTCTCTATTGCGGCTTTCATTCTATCAATCACGGGAAATCCCCGAGCCGAATTTGCGTTTCCAAATGCATCTTTCTCTGATTGAAATGATGTCGTGTTGTCTAACAAGATCGATGCGTCACAACCCTTTCAAAAGTCCAAAAAATTTTTAACCAAATTGTTAGTCAGTGTATTACATCCACAAATATATAGTTGAATCTGTACTACCAGTAACGATGTAACATCAATTTTCTTTTTTTTGTAATCCATAAAAACCATATATACTTTACGCGATAGACTAAGACTAATGAAATGTTTTATATATAATCTCATTAAAATGGTTATATAATCAAATTCAAATAATAAATGCAATAAAATAATATGAATAAATAAACATTAAAAAATCACTAATATGATACATAGTTACATACAATAATTAGCAACGTGATAGATATGTGAAAAAGTAATATCTTACATTTACAAAGCAGTCGTGGAAATGAAGACGGAGGATGCTCGCGGCGATACGAGGGTCTGACCTTAACTCGTTGACAATGGTATCTCGTACGATGTTAGTAACATTAGGACATGAATTGTCGTAGAAGGTAGGGGTAAGTTGAGCATCGGACAAAGAGACATATAGCATAAGACATCCCAATGTGATTAAGGTTGTCCAAGTGAACGAAGTAGAAGAAGAAGAAGCAAAGAACTTCATCTTTTACAAGTAAAAAGAAAACTATTTGATTGGGTTTAATGGAGAATATGAGTAAGATCCATACCTTAAAGAATCCTTTTATAGACAAAACGTGTCCAACTTGGTGGCTTTTTTCTTTTGGGGTATTCATACTAATAACCTCAAACTTTCTCACATTTTCTCTACTAGCTAACATGGTCATCTATTGTATAGTAAAAAGTAAAAACAAGATATTTTATAAGACTAGATTATGTACCCGCGCGTTGCGCGGGATTTTAGTTTTAATTTTTTTATCAAAGCGAATATTTGAATATAAAATATAAATCTAATCAATTAAATTTTAATTTTTTTTTACTTTTTTTTTTCAATTTTACTTTATTCATATGCATTATCTTTCCAAAGTAGTAAAAACATTCTCTCACTTTTCACTACAATTTTTCTCGTTATCTTCTATGATATACTCATCGTCTCCCGACATTGTCTCTTTTTCACCTTATATTGACTCACATAGAATATACTCAATTGTGAATTAGTTCTCAAGATAGATTGTATATTTTTTCTCTTTCATATCTTTGAATACTCAATTCTATTTTAAACGTTGCATGATCTTTTTACTAAAGTAACCATCAAAAAATCTGAGAAAATATTTGTCATAAGGTTTCTTTAGCCATGTTTTGGTGCATGTAAAATTGTTTTATAAAAAAAAATATTACATATATAAACTCATTCTTATATATATTCACAAACATCGGATTTTAATATCAAATTTTTTCATTTTATCTTGACTCTTTGAAAAATACAAAATTCTCTTTTCTAAAATATGTAAATTAAGAAATCATAAAAATTATTCATTTTTTTATAACAAAATCATTGTTATTTCTAATTTCCATATAGCATTCTCAAATATTATTATTAGAAAGTTTTATTATTTGAGTAGATTATTTTATTTTTATTTGTGATGTTTAGGATAGTTTTTTGTTTTGTTTCAAATCAGCATCATTTTTTTCAATCTATGTTAATTTTCTAAATACTGATTAATGATTAGTTTTTCTTTCTTAGGTATTCATTTTTTATATAAAAATGTTCACTTTTTAATTGAAAAAACATTAATAATATAGAAAAATTTATTAACTTAACTATTTATATTATATTATAATTATAAATGATAATATGTATTCATTCCTTCTTATTTTTTAATTGGTTCGGTTTGGTTCTTTTTGCTCCGTTTCCGCTTCTTTAAATAATACATGTAAATTATGATACTAACTTACGATCTCATATAAATTATTCTAATTTTAAAATACATTTTTAATCCTTAATTTTTACTTCTAATTAAAAACTCTTCAATATACCATTACTATTCTAATTTCTAAATAACATTCGCAAATATTATTATTACACAGTTTCTTATTAATATTTCATAAACACTGATTAATATTTAATTTTTTTTTTTTTAGGTATTCATTTGATTTAAAATAAAACCCACCAGTTTTTAATTTATAAAACAATGATAATATAGAAAGTTTTATTAATGTAACTATTTTTATTATATTATAATTATAAATAATAATATGTACTCAATCTTTTCAAATTTAGTATCCATTAGGATATTTTCAAATTTTTGGTTCGGTTTGGTTCTTTTTGCTCCGTTTCCGCTTCTTTACATTCGGTTCAGTTAATTTGCCCAGACCTTGTTACATTAAAATTTATCATAAGTTTCTTTTTCCTAACTCTAACCATTTAAAAATATTTACTCATTATATGTTAAGACATGATTATCTAACTTTATATTTCTCTAATATCAATTCAAAAGTTTTATATTTTGTGTTGTATATTTATTTTTTCGTTTTTTCATATTTAATTTATTTTTTGTAAATTATTGATTTTTAATGAAAAGTAATAATTTAAATGTGTGAATTAATTTAGTTTTAGTTTTTGTTTTAATAAATAACATATGTGGAGCCCACAAAAATAATAAAATGTGATGACATGAATGCTGATGTGGACACCTTAGATGGAGAGACAACTCTCCCATTATATATATAGATTTTCTTGAAAGATATGATTTCTTTTTTAAAAATATCTTAAGGACCAAATTGTTTTTAACAAATTTCTTCTTGTGGTAGAAAAACCCTTAAACCTAAATTTTAAATAAAATAAATATTATAACGATCTTTATATAATTATCTATTAGATCACAAAAATTAAATATAACGATACATATATTAAAAAGTTACAATTAACATATATTAAAAAGTTACAATTATAAAAACAATTATAGGAGTTACATTAAAAATAAATTATAGGATTCACATTTTCCAAATTATTTTGTAAATAACAAATTAAATATATTTCCTATAAAATCATATGAAAAGCAATCAAAAGCTTTAAAAAAATCCCAAAGATTACTATCATTGTTTAATCTCTTTTCATATTCCTCTTAATTTAAGTTATATTGGTAGGTTTAATTCTAATGATTTCATATTTGTAGTACAAGCTAGATTGGAAATGGAATATCAAATTTTTAATATATATAGGAAACTTTTTACACTACAAAATTTGAATTAAATACAATTTTTAATGATTTTTATATAATAATATGTTGAATCAAAAAAACTAAATATAATGATAAGTATACTAAAAATATGTAGTACAATTTTTTTGGAGGTAAGAGAGAGTTAAGGAAAATTAATTTGATAATTGTATTACAAAAACTTATTTCGTTAAAACATTGCATACTTTTAAAAATAAAATAAATATACATGAATATGTAAGAAATAATCAAACATCAAAAATAAAAAAATGGAGATAGTTTCTTTAGCTTGAATCTGCATCAATAAGGTAATTTTTGTTATAGTCATCAAAATTATATTATGCATATGTAATTTTAAATTAAAAAATATTATAAAAATGCAAAGAATGAAGGACGAAGTACATAGAAACAAAGAAGAAATAAAACTGAAAAGAATTTAAGATATATTTTAAACAAAACATATAATTAAACTCTTACAATGATATCTTAATTGAGTTTTCAACCCATGTAAAAACATAAACAAAACAAAAAGAATATTTAGGATTTGAGACATAGTAGAGGAGGATGTGAGAATGGTTATTTATAGGAAAATAAGTGATGGAAGTTACAATTCTAAACTAATTAGATTATAGGAGTTACAATTATAATTATAGTGTGTTTAAATGACAATGAATAGAGAAAAAATAATCAATTCACAATTATGTAATTTCAGTTACAATTGAGTAGTAAAGTGTGGATTTAAAGTGTGGATTAATGTATATGATTAAATGTTTTATATTTTAAGTTTAATTAAAAATAAATATTATATTTTAAAAATAAAAATGCCAAGTGGACCAATCATGGAAGAGTGAAACCCTACTTTTATATGTATGATTTATGTACAGTTTTAAATTTAATGCTTCAACTATTCTTTCTCTCTCTCTCTACTCGATGACTTAGTAGAATTTCAACGGTGTTAGGCATCATGATAGTGACTTGTAGAGAAAATAGAGGTGTATACGTGTATCTATTTGTTATTTTCCTTTTGGTTGATATGAATTAATTCGATGAAACATGCATGTGAGAGAACATGTAGTGACTATTAATCCCTCTGTTTTAAAATAATGTATTTTTGAAAGTTTTCACACATATTAAAAATTGATAATTGATCGTAAATGCATTGTTTTGTCAATTACAAATTTATATAATTATAAATCAATAATATTCAATTAATTTTCTTGAATCTTTACGATTCATCAATAATAACTAAAAAATATTACATAAAAAACGTAAAAACTCTATCTTTTTGAAACCATTTTTTTTCTTAGAAATTGGATTAATTAATAAGGAACCTATGAAGTATATTTTAAAAAAGTTCTAGAAAAAAAGAAGAGATTCAAATTAAATATCCTCAAGTAACATCTTGAGGGTTTTATTTATTGATATATATTTTGTAGCCACATATATATTTAAACAATTGTCATATAAAGAGTTGGAGTTTACCACCCTACAGTTCAATCTGATTTGTCCTTGTTTTCCGTGGTCGGTGTAATGTTTCTCATCCTATTCATCGCCTCCACAAATGCATTGAAGAATGTTTGTGTGCCATCAGCAAATGCTCTCACTAGGGGGATTGCATCACTTGCATTGGGGCTAGAGAACAACTCATGGTCGCTCTGGATAAGACCTTTCTTTGAGATTCACGTAGTATTTGTTGTCGAAAACCGTAGGCGTACGAAGATCAAAATCAACCAAGACACTTAGATTTCCATTAAGGAGATACAATTGTGAATGTCAGATTCACACACTCAAATATTTATATTATTCGTGGGCTAAAACTCTCAAAAACAAAAGTAAAATACATATATGCATAGCAAAAGTATAAAAAGTTTGTGGAAATGTATAAAGAATTTGTAGAAAAAAAGTGGTATAACATTCATAATGTAAAAGGTTTTACTCAAAAAGATAAGAAATAATATTTACTATAATTATGGGAAATAACAATGTTTATGTATAAAATTTGTGGTACAAATGTGGAAGATCTAGCCCCTTTTTTTGGAATCTTCACCTCTCATTTATAGCCTTTCTCCACCTCCCAATGTGCCATTACTTGGCCATTAATTTTAGAATTAACTCACAAAATAATTCCCACAATCAATTCATAAACTTGAATGACAAGTTTATTCCTTTGACTATAGCAATTAATTCACGAATTAAAATACAAATTAATGTCAATATTTGACCACCTCCTTTGTGCAACATGAGCCTTTTTGGGCTTGTAAATCGATGGGCCTCCAACGCATTAAAATGATCCAGTGAGCGGAATCCGATATAAACATAAGCCCTCCAGTTTTTCGAGTAAGTTGACTTGCTCGGAGAACTAATATTCTTGCCACGGTGCCGAAGATGAATAATAACTAAGTTCCTAAGAGTTGATCCTGGCGAATACGTCGTAAACAGATCTTGAATCAAGTGACTGGAAAGTCAACTCGTTTTTCCGAGAGTTATAACTCGGAAAAATCTCCACGGATCCAAAAGTCCTATAAATTAAACCCATT